CTAGACGAGATTGCTGTCTCAGTGAGGCATGTTGCAACTTTACAACCGCTAATAATTGATGATGGATTTTTATCTGGTACACTAGCCGTTGACAAAATTACTCCACAAGCAGAGTTAAGGCCCTACTACGTATGAATCTTTTAATTTAGATAGCAGCATTCATGACATTTTCATTACTACAAGAAAGTTTTCAACGTATACCTATTACTACGAACTTAAAGAAATTACTAAAGCATTACGCACCGCATGCTCAATCTAAGGTACACAGAATGAAAGCGCGATTATACTAATCATTGGAGTAAGAGGGGATGGACTACATTAACTATATTCTTCTCTAACTAAATTGAAGCTCCGAATTACGATACTGCTTTATCAATCATAAAAGGGTGTGATTTGGGGTAAACAAGATAAAGAGTAGTGGTCTTGTATATAACCGGTCAAAAGAGGGAGACAGGAGACTCACCTAGACCAAAGAGGGCCAAGGAATGACTTCTGACTGGCTTTTAGGATGACAATAGGAAGAAGAATGAATCGAATCACATAAGGAATGGCTTAAGCGATATGGACTAGGATTATGGGTGTCGTGGTCAACACAATTGATGTATGTGTTCTGTTGTCGAGGGTGCAGTTGATATGGCTAAGTCGATGTGCTCATTATGCATGTGTAATGTTATGGCACACCTATGAGCGTTTGGGATGTAGGGAAATGACTTATATCTCAAGCCACTTGTAGGCATCATACTTTATACATTGTAAATCCGTTGTGCATGTTTTTAATGCATGATAATATTATTAGTTGAGACGATAAGGATTGCTTAGGGTGCGTTTGGTAACCATTTTGTTCTTGGAAATAATTTCTACTCATAAATGATTTTTTTTATTCCATTCCCGAAAATAATTTCTGAACATTTAAAAGCGTTTGGTAACAGCCCAAAATTTTTATTCCAGGAATAAAAAAAGAACATAAATGCGTTCGATAACTACACAAAATTTCTTTTTGTTAATAATATTTTAATAATACCGGCCACAGGCGAGGGCGAGGGCTGGACCCTCACGGCCTAGGCGAGGGCGGCTCGCGGCCTGGGTTCGGCGAGGGCGACTCTCGCCCAGGCCTTGAGCGTCCAGCGCTTGCCCTCGTCAGCCCTGGCCTGTGGCCGGTCGCCGGCCAAGAAAGAAGAAGAAGAAGAAAAAAAAATTTCTTTTCCATTTATGATTCTTGTTCCCAGAATCAAGAATCAACTTTTTTTTTATTCTTTATTCTGTCCCAAAACTAATTCTGGGAATAAATTTGTGCCTGGGAACAAAAAATTTACCAAATGAATTTCTGTTCTTTTTTTTGTTCCTGGGAACAAAAGAATAAAATCAAGCACTATTTAGCCTGTTACCAAACAGGCCCTTACTGAGTCGATGATCCTGTGAGGCTGATCCCCTTCTGTGTTTGGACCTGTGTTTGTAGGTTTTCTTAGATTGGGCAATATTGATGTGTCATGGGTAGTAGAGTGCAAAGCCGAAGCAGAATGAGTTCTCGTTTCTGACTTAGCCTTGTAATATGTAGATCCATTTGTTATTCATATGACTTGCCGTAATCTAGCGAACGATCAGGTCATTAACAAACATGGTATCACAATTCAAAGTGACAGAGCGAATAGACCTTCGGTAAGTAGAGCAACAAAGCGGGTCATGAGATCGTTCGAGAAATTTCAAGGACCAAAAAGTTCTATACATCATGGTTGCTTGTGCGCGTTCATTTCATTTCCTATATTGCGATCTGCTCACTCAATTGTGAGGTTGATCCCAGTCCAATCTGTTCTTAGGTTTATTCAGAAGGAAAAATGGCTGATAAATCTTAGGTAGCAGAGGAAGGAGTGGCTAAGTATTGACTTTTTAGTTTCTAAGGCTAGCCTTGTCTTCTGTAGATGCACTTGACATGTAAATTGCATATTAAAGCCTTAATGATGCAATTAACCATAATAAATCGTCGAAGACTCAATAGACCGACGGCCAAAATATTAAAGATTGATTATGCAATCATCCCAATTCAAATTGGAAATATACTTCTTTTCTTTACATCATTGTTGAGGTCAATAGATTTGTCCATTATATTGTTAAGTAATTTACTCATGACTATACATGTTATGATCAAGTGCTTATGTAAGGACAAAAGTTGACCTACCTGGGGATGGTACAAAAATCCCCAGAACCATCATCCTTAATTGTGTATCAACAGATGCACTTCCAACCAAATAACTAGGACCACTCCACTAAAAGCGGTCATCAAAAGAAAAAGAAAATGGAGAAGAATAGAAGGACAATCCAAATCCAAATTTCTCGTAAAGGGAGTGACGAAACATTTGCACATCTATTTAGGGAAAAAAAAATATTAAGAGCATCGATTTTAGACTTGCATGCAGATCTTGAGGAGATTGCAAGTTACAATAATGCACCAGGCAGGCCATTAAAAATACATTTCCTGATGATTCACGAAGAGTTTTCAAGGTAGGAAAGAAGTATGGCTCAGAAATCGCAACGACTCGACCATTGATGATGGTCGACATCTGTCAAACCTAGTACCTTCTGGCCAGTTTCGTGGAGGGTTTTGCTGATCGTACCAACGAAAATGATTGGTGTTGGAGGAAGTGTAGCTTGGAAGTCGAAGAAAAGTTGGAGCTATGTTAAAATATGTTTCGAGTTTGAGAATGTGGACGATTTTAATCTAAAAGTGTACATGGATATCTAAGTCATATTTTCGTGAATATGATTTCCTTAATCTGGAAAATCTATTGGACTTGGATGTTGCCGAATATTGAAGTTTGAATTTTGGTCAACAATTAAGAAAGGGAAATTAATTCCCACTTCAAGTCGGTCCACGAAAAGCAAAAGAGGAACGGTTATTATCTCCTTTGTTGCCGAGGGGAAAGCAAAAATAAAAAGAAAAGAAAAGTTAAATATTTGCTGGAGGAAACAAATATTCTTTTCTAATTGATGTCGTTGGGAGAAAATGTTAGGTGGTCCGGGACCGTCAAGTCAGCGTGGTCCCGGACCACTTATGAAGCGCCACATGGTCCACGTGGCGCTTGTGGGGCCGGCTCGCCCGGATGGAAATTTTGCACAAAAAAATAATATTCATTATTTCTCCTTAGCCCTGCACGCTAGCCTCTCTCTCTCTCTCTCTCTCCTCTGCACGTATTTATTTCTTCTCTCTTCTCCTCCTTCGTTTTCGCATCGAAGAGGAAAACCCACTGCTCTTTCCTCTCTGGCTTTCAAATTTATTTTGAATCTCTGCGATTTCGCTCTCAAATTTCGCTTGGCTTCCTCGTTGCTCCCCCCTCTCCGGCGATCCCTCCGTGGCGTTGTTGCTGCTCTGGCAATCTTTTGCTCTCTGCTCAATGCCATACCGTCGAGAAAGGCGCCAGCCGCAAGCAAGGTTCCCCTCTTCTCCTCTTCCCCCACGCCTGGATTCTTCGTCGATCCATTTTTTTGTGTGCCCGCGTTGAGCGGTTTTGATTGGTCTTTTTCTTTTACTTTTCTCTTTGGCGATGGTGGGTTCGGTACAAAATGGGTGGGGAGAGGGAGTCCCCTTCTGGTTTTTTGCCACCATTGTTACTGCAAATGAAAACAAACCCAAGCATGATGCTCTGTTCTAAAGGGGCTGCTAGTTAATTTGCTTCGTGCTCTCGTTTGAAGGTTTGAAGGGATGATGGCTCCGAGCCAAGGGCAAACGGCATTGCTGACATTCTGCTCCTGCATTAGCCTCACTAGTGTTGGCCTTGTTCTTGCAAACTGTTCTGGACATTGGTAACAACTGGTTTTGGATCATTGCATTAAGCCCCTTAGCATAAGTGAAGATTGTTTTTCGTTGAAGAGTCCGGTTTCTAGTGTTCCTCATTTCTGAAGAACAAAAATCATCTGTGAATATGCTGAACCCTTGATATGATATTTTGCAGTGGAGCACACTATTGGATGCGGGCATCGTGGAAGGAGCAAATTAAGGTAAAGATGATGGTGGCGGAAGATGCCTGGTTGGAGCAAGCATTTTGATGGCCATGTTGGACGGGGTGAGTATTACTGCGAGATTTTTTTTTTCCAGCTGCATATTTTGTGTTAATGACAAGCAAAGCATGAATGTTTCAATTTCTTACTACTGTTAGAGATAGGTTGAATTTTGTGGTGAATTTGTTTTGCCGTTAAAGGCCTTAGCGTGACAATCTCAACATTTTGGTTGAACGTTTCATCACTTGTCTTGTGAGGGTGGTGTTCTTGTTTCTAATATGCGCCTTTTGTTGGTGCCAACCACAGTCAAGCATTGCCTTTGTCAGACAAGGATCATGAAGAGAGGGCAAAAAGATGTGAAGAGAGGCCCTACAATCTTTATGGTTGGCCAGGGGTGAATTTGTTGTTTGCTGATGTATTAAAATAGGAAGCAAGGGAATAGGGTGTATAAGCTAAAATGTAATTCTTTCCTTGTCGACTTCGGTTTTGACCCGAGGAAACAATGTTGTGCATAGCTCCTGTGTGATGATTGGACCTCTCAAAAGTAACGGTATTGAAGAACTTTTCTTTATGTCTATGTACCATGTATTATTCATAAACATATCAAAGCACTATCGAAAAAGCAAGGAATATTGAGTGAGAATCGCTAAACTTTATTGTAGTTACGACTTGGAAGTAATAAGAATGGAGTGGGGGTAGGATTTTCACGGCACTAGGCATTGCCTTCAGGCGTTGTTATATTCATTTAAGTGGAAAGATATCATCAGTCAATGCTAGTCTCGCTTGATGATATCTTCCTCTGTTTCCAATGACCAAAATAAGACCAAATCACAGTGCATAGGAACAAGAACATTCCATGCCACATTTAAACTTCTGACTAGGTTTGAGTCCGAATTTACTTTCTGAGAAGTGAGTTAGCCACTCCTATGCAATTGAATTAGATGCACAAGAGAGAGGAGAACCGCCTAGGAAGAAAAAGGAAGTAGTATTGAGATTGATTAACCCACCTCTTCCAAAAATAGGACCCCTTCAACCAAAACATAAATATCATCAATGTAGTCACAGAAAAATGGATCCTCTTGGGACCACGAACAGTTATCAGTATGGACAAAAACCCCCCTACTTCTCATCTAAATCCCCCCAAAATTAACCATGGACGTGCAAAAAATGGCAGCCCATGTTTATCAATTCGTAAAGACCTAAACTTAACCAACGCAGTGGTACTCTTGTGTACATTATGTTTTGGGTTACATCTCTGACAAAAACATCAAAACATGTTGAGCAAACTCCACTCATCAGACTTGTCTGTCCAGTTGCCATTTTGTCTATGTGGGAATAAAAGGATGGCAGACGGATCGTGTAGACCTCGCTCCTCCTGTGCTCAAGGCCACAAGCAACCAATACAGTATGAGTGGAACACCTCGCTATTTCCTTAAACTCACCATGACCTGTATCAACGATCATATCGGTAAGTTCACATGCAAGGCACCTTGCGCACCAAGGAAAAAACAAATGCAATAAGCACTTGAAAGAAAGCATCATAAAGAGAACAAGCACGGGATTCTAGAGCATAAAATGTATAATAATAGGACCAAAAATCTAGTAGAACATATATAACTCGCATACCTAAATCAATTTCTCTCAAAAGGCTTTTGACCATTGATTGCAATTCCTCTTTTGCTCTACGAAAATGGCTATCTTCACATCCTGCATAAGGAGATGCAGCCCCATCAGAACCGAGGCTGGATCGGCTGCTGGACTGATGATGCTGGTCAGGAACTATAGTTGAGCTCATCCCTACACGTTCGTCCAGAAGTGCCCGGCCAGAACTACTGGGAGTTCTTCTGGACCACCATCACAAGCACTATGCGAAATTTCACCACTGTCTACCACCTGCATCCACCCTCGATTATGACTCCAGAATGATGCGTAACATACAAAATGGAATACCAGGAAAGTGCAGTCAAGTATCGTAAGAAATCAGTATTCAAGAGTCCCCGGTTCATGAGGAGGCACCGGACAAGACTCTAAAAGGATAAAAAAAAGCATATTGAACCACGGCGACAAAAAAACGTTAGTGAAAGATCATTAAGCGAACCTGATCACCACGCATTCGAAGTGACTCAAAATCGGACCTTGGTTCAAACATTCTGTCAAACACATGATGCGCAGTGGACGTTCGAGCAATTAAAAGCTTCGAACGCACACCAAGACTTGAAAGAGACCATCAAAACACACTTGTCCAGCGACATACAGCCATAACAAGTTCGAATTCAATCAACTCAGAATTAAAATTTTCCATCTTAAAAGGATTGAAAAAAGGGTCAAAGAAATCAAAACTTCCAACATATCTCAGTGTTCGATTGGGCGCATTGGCAGAGATGTAGAACCAAGCAAACAATTAGAGTAATGCAAGTTTCATCATCCGTACCTGAATGAAGTGAAAATGGGATCCCCAAATCTCGGTCGCCCCAGCAGATTAATGGGCGAAGGAAAGCTGCGCCGGAGCAGAGACGGAGCGAGCGAAAGAGCAGCGAGCGAGCGACGTACCGAGCGCCGGATTTTTTCGAGAGCGAGCGTGCGCTGGAGCAAAGACGGAGCGAGGACGAGGGACCCAAACCTTGGCTTCGTCGGAGAGGGGGGAGCAACGAGGAAGCCGAGCGAAATTTGAGAGCGAAATCGCAGAGATTCAAAATAAATTTGAAAGCCAGAGAGGAAAGAGCGGTGAGTTTTCCTCTTCGATGCGAAAACGAAGGAGGAGAAGAGAGAGAAGAAATAAATGCGTGCAGAGGAGAGAGAGAGAGAGAGAGAGAGAGGCTAACGTGCATGGCTAAGCAGAAATAATGAATATTATTTTTTTGTGCAAAATTTCCATCCGGGCGAGCCGGCCCCACAAGCGCCACGTGGACCACATGGCGCTTCATGAGTGGTCCGGGACCACGCTGACTTGGCGGTCCCGGACCACCTAATATTTTCTCGTTGTTTGATCTCTTGATTCAGACCATGACTCGGTCAACTCTTGGGCACATATAATATATTCTACTGTGGGCACCTTTGGGAGGTAGAAGTTGAAGATGGTCTCCGTGCGGTCAATGTCCAGAGAAGAACTGAAGCGCCGAACCGAGTGCTTGACGTGAGTCTTCGTGAAATTACATCCCGGCGTTTTCTTTATGCGTGATATTGAAGAAAAAGTACGAGTGATTTGGCAAATTAAATCTTGTGATAAGATTTGTGTATAATTTCTTCGTGAGATTGAGAAATTATTTCATGAGGAATTATTGGGGCTAAACACTGCGTGAGTTATTGAGTATAATTGAGGCTTGAGAAACACTTAGAGTATTTGAGTGACTCGAGTGTGGTTGTAATCTCCGTTGTATCGCTTGATCTATAGTGAAATTCCGTGCTGCTCTCCCTGTGGACGTAGGTCGACACGACCGAACCACGTAAATCTGGTATCCGATTTATTTTCTTATTCTGTCAAATTTATTGTTCGATCGCTTGGCTTCCGCAACAAGCTAAATGGAATAAATTATAGTTTTTGGTTCATGTACTTATTCTGCAAATAAATAAATTTTCATTAGTGGTAACAGATGCGATCATCTAAAAATATTGATGGTGCAGAGGACAGTAAAAGGGTTTTGACGTCTCTTCTTTATCCCTAGAGCATTTTTTTTTTTTTGTAATTTCTAGAGTTGTGGGGGAGGATGGTAGATAGAAGTGGCACCGTGTGGATGAGAGGTTGGCCTCCACAACCTGTAGACTCTCCCTATCAACACTTCAGAGAATCGCACGAGCACAACTAACCTCTCCACTTCCTTCACTCTCTCTCTCTCTCTCTCTCTCTCTCTCTCTCTCTCTCTCTCTCTCTCTCTCTCTCTCTCTCTCTCATTCCTGTATGTTATATCTTCTCATCAAGCACTAAGATCCGGAGCTACATGTAGGAGATACAAATTAAAACCCTAAAAGATGAACCGTTCGTCAAAGATAGCTGCAGATGATGCATGTATTTCAATTTGTGAGCACATCAGTAATTTGACTTCTCGATAACAGTTCACGGGTACGTTTTGATTCATGAGTCCATTTGCCATTCTCATATATGAGCTAACCCGATATTCAAGCATAAGTAAGAAAACGCAACACAATCCCTTTTGTGATATTTATGATTTAATATGGTATCAGATTTTTAGGAATTCTTGTACTGATCCATGAAGCAATATATGACACTTGTCACGAACTAGTTTTTTGTAACTCGAGTTCGTATTCAAGCGAGCCGCTTAGGCTGCGAATGACAGCCATTCTTTTTTAGAAATCAATTTCTGGCCAAAAATTGATTTTTTTTTTCTGTTCCTGGACGAGTTTCTAAGCAAAAAAATAAGTTTGATAACGACACAAAATTTATGTTCCTGAAACAAAAATTTGTTTAATAACGGCACAAAATTTCTCCCTCTCGGGTGGCCGGTGAGTGAATGACGGGCGGATGGCGGCGGCGGACAGCGAGCGGCGGACGGTGGGAGTGAACGACGGGTGGCGGACGGCGACGGGAGGAGGGCGGCCGGCAATGGGAGACGGTGGCCAGTGGACGGCGGGCGGTGGCCCACGGCAGCCCAAGGGGGGAGGCGGGCGGCGGCGAGAAAAGGGAGGCCGGCGGCGGGAGACGGTAGCCAGTGGACGACAGGCGGCGGCCAGCGGTGGGAGGCGGGCGGTGGCCGGAGGCGGATGGCGGTGGGAGGAGGGCGGCCGGCGGCAGGGACGGTGGCTAGCGATGGGAGGCGGGCGGCGGTGAGAGAAGGGCGGCGGGAGACGGTGGCTGGCAGTGGGAGGCGAGCAGCGGTAGGAGGAGGGCGACCGACAGCGGGAGACGGTGGCGAGCGACCGATGGACGGCGGGCGGCGGCAGCCGGCGGCGGGAGACAACAAAAGGCCGGAGGTGGCGGCCGGCAAGTGGGCGGCGATGGGCGGTGGCTGGGCAACCGACTAGTAGCGAGGACAAGCGATGAGAAGAATTTTAACTTCTTATTTCTGTTCCAAATCTATTTCTGGATCAAAAATTTGTTCCAAAAATAAAAAATGAAATTGCGTTACCAAACGGATTTCTGTTCCAAAACCATTTCTGAAATAAAAATAAAGAAACAGAATGGTTATCATTCGCAGTCTTCGAAGGAGAGTCATTCGACAGTTGAATAATATGTATATACATGGACTCTTGATGATAGAGGACTATTATTAGAGTAGAGATACGTAATTAGAGCCTTTTCTTGTACACTAGATCAACCGTACAATTTCCAATCATGCAGGAGCCAGGAGCTACACAGTTCTCAAAAAGGGTTCGTGACCTTAAGAGTAATGGCTTTGTAGTTAGTAATATTTGCCACACGACGAGGTGTGTACGTAAGAAACTCTCTTTTGGAGTTAGCATTTTCTATGTCCTGTGCAAACGCTTCACTCTTTGGAATTTCGGAAAGTGATGATTGGTGAACGGCAGTGCTCGTGGAAACCGCTTGCCCATCGCTCTTGTTAGCAATGGAAGTAGAGAGATCGGTCCGGGGTAGCTAGAGATACCAATCAAAGATGACGATGAATTGATGAAGGTTTGACGATTGGATCGAGCGTCAATCAGCTTAATCGGCTCGACAGACTCGCTCATCGTATCAATAATGGGTTTCATCCACTAAGTCTGACCAGACCATAAAAAGCTCTTGAGGCGGACGATTAAATACCTACCTCTAGTTTGAGGCCCAAGCTAACATTTCTTTCCCAAAAATCTTCACAGAAGTACCTATATTTTTCTGGTATTACAATCTGAGTTTGTGAAATAAGGTTCTTTAGGCCTGAGGCATGGTTTGGTAGAGCCGGCCAGCTAAGTCTGATTTATTGAATCATCAATTGAATTGGTCTTGCAGTGTGTGTGGTGATAGAAGTGGTCGTGCGCGCTCACCAGTTGCGGTTTTGTGCTGCCGGTCATTGTCGTGAAGCTAGCCTTCAATGATGGTGCCAAGCAACCGCAAGACAGTGGCAGCGACGAATCGTGGGAAGTGGAGGCTAATGTCTTTGAAATGACTACGGCAAACAAAGCGACGAATTCCGGAAAAGATTCACGTACCTTGCTCAAGAAGATTATTCATATCCCATTTTTCTTTCAATTATGAAAGGATAAAAGTTTAGACAGCTTCCTAATTAACCAAGAAAATATGTGCGACCATATTCTCTCTCTCTCTCATTTTTCTTATAGGGGGTTGTTACGGGGGGGCAATTGCACATGAACATTTCCTTTTCTTGCTTCACCCGTGAGTCAAAAGCCTCGCACGTGCCAAAGGGAAGTAGATACAAACAGTAGCTTCTCCCACGCTTCCACCCTCTTCAATGACCTTTCTTCTCTATAAATTCAGGTTGCACCTCCCCAACGTCACAAATAAGCCTTCCTTCACGAGTTGATCATCTTCATTTTTCATCAACTATACCATATATATTTGGCTCCTCACCGTCTTCCATCTCGTCTTCGCGTGTTGTGTTGCAAAAGATTGATGGATGACCGAGTAGTATGTGGCGAACTTGGGGAAAGAGAGAACAAGGAGGATTCAATTAGAGTCGGAGATGAGATCGACTACGCCTTTGGAGAAGATGGGTGAGTGGTTTCCATGCTATGCTTGTCCAGTGATCAGTCCTTTTGCAGGTTAATCTCTCTTTCGTTGTCTGTTCGACCTTGAGCACATGTTGTTAGGACTTGCATAAAAACCCTAGTTTTGGAACAGATTTTTCTTACATCATGATAAGTTCGTACTAATTGGTTAGATATAAGTAACCCCTACAATGTTTGTTGATCCTAACCAAACCTGTAAGTTAGCGATATAGCCTGGTTGATCATGCATACGAGTCAGCGGTAGAAGATGAACTTCGGATTCCTCATAAATATAACCAGACCTCCACATCGCTCCACCATATATTCTTGCACTATATCACAACTCTTCATGGTATATCATTTTTCCCCTAAATAGTTCTAGGATGTTTATCACCAGGATCGTGCAATCTATGGTGAAGAAACTTCCTCCAGTCAGACCTCTAATAGGTTAAGTGCAAGTAAGGATATGACCAAAAAAAAAAATTCCGTCAATCAACAGTCAGATCAAAGGAAGTTTCCTCTAACCAAAGATAATGGAGGAAACATGGACCACTCTGGAATAGAGGGTTTTTCCTCGAGAAAAGTATTTAAAAAGTCCTAAACATTTTCCATTGGTGCCAATTTAGTTCTAAACCTTTTTTGGTGCCAATTCAGTCATAAACCTTTTACATTGGTGCCAATTCAGTCCTAAACCTTTTTTTTGTACTAATTCAGTCCTAAATCTTTTGCATTGATGCCAATTCAGTTCTAAACATTTTGCATTGATACCAATTTAGTCCTTCCGGCTAATAGCTATTCACGTGTCGAAGGACTGAATTGGCACCAATGCAAAAGGTTTATGACTGAATTGGCACCAAAAAAAGGTTTAGGACTAAATAAGCACCAATGCAAAAAGTTTAGGACTTTTTTTACACTTTTCCCGTTTTTTTCTCATAATGTTGGTCTCGATTAGTTAGTCAGTCTCTTCTTTCTTTCTGGTCAAGATTGGTTGGAGTTTGTCGAGGTATAAACGGTTTACAGTGAAAGAAATGAAAGAGATGTATATGGCTCACCTCATTCAAGATCCATGATCTGAGAAGGAAACCCAAGCACAAAAGAGATGGAAGAGATTATGATGGACTGTGGTAAAATAATCAGAAGCTAGTTCGGCCTTTCGATTGATTAGGGTTGACCTGTATAGGCCCTTCAAGTGGTCCATGGGTTACAGAGGAAAAGACATTGAAAGCAACCATCGTTGTCTCATAACACCCATTTTTTAAGAAGGAAGAAGCTCTTTAGTTTACTTTGAGGCATCAAGGAGGAGGAGGAGATTTTGTCGTAGAGACCGTTAATTAGTTCTACATCCGGCTTGTATATGATACCAAATCCTACAGTCTAATCATGACATCTCTCTGACCAAAAAAAAAACAATCATGACCTCCCAAATGATGGGTCAAGATATACAAAAACAAGAAGTCATAACTTCAATGGAGCATATAAAGAAAAGTTTTAAGTACGTAGGGTCAATGACCCTTGGAATCTTCCGAATAGTACTTAAAAGCATGAGTGGAATTATATGCTGGAATAAAGGGTATATAAAAAAACTGGTCTGCTTGCTGTCTTCGGTTTTTTTGGAGATCCAACGGACATTCCTATTTAGGAAATGACGACCAGCAAGTACAACGTTTTTGGAAACTCAGTTGCTACTGGCTCGTCTATCTAACGTGTTCCTAGGGACACGGAGCAGCTGCCTCTTGACTATTCTTCTTTATATGTGATAAATACAATCAATCCCCATGTTGAGGAGCATTATTCATAAAGGTCCTTTAGCTTGTGCTAATTCCTAATAAGTCACTATTTTCGCCATGTCTAAAAAGAAAGATAAAAGGAAAAGGGTCTTTACCAACTGAAAGAAGAGAAAAACTTAGGCCTAACAGTCTTTTAAAGGTCGAACTGTCGACGAATGTGGGATGCCGATGAAGGACTGGTTATTTGACAAGAATTTGCATGGAAATCAACACTCTCTCCGATACTTTCCGCTCCTCAAGAGTCCCAAAGTTACAGATGAATCAGGTCCTCTCTCTCTCTCTTGTAATTTATTGAAGGAGATTATCTGTTCCAATGATGATTAGTTAGCTGCTAAGCAATGGCCTAGAGATGGATGAGGTGGAATTTATATTTCTTTGATGATGTGAAAAGTTTCATCTTAAACAGTTAAATCCAATGTTCGTGAAATACTCTGTTAAATAGACATAGCATAGGTATGATGCAAGTCATCGATCAGTTAAAAAGTTATTACATACCACAATATTTCCTTGTAGTAACATTTATTATAACACCACCTTATTATAACCAGAGCTGTAATGCAGACAATTCGTATGTAGTACGTGTTACAACCCAGTATAATAATAGTTTATTCCCCTCCCTCTCTATCTTTCTCACTTTACTAAAAGTTGAATGATTCTCTAATCAATTATAGAAACCTACTGACATGATAATCTGAATGCACATTGAGATGCTATCGATGATTTTCATAATGTTGTAGATCATGGGAATATATATTGATTATTTAATTAATGACATTGCATGTTATGTAAATTTGATCATAATTTTTATAAATTACCGTTTCATACTAAGTCGATAATATGCTTTCTCATAATTTATCACTTAGCATATTAAAAAAAAACTCAGTTATTTGAGATAATAAGTAAACAACAATGTACTTGTTAGTAAATTGATTTAATTATCATATAATTATATGAAATTTGATAACTCTATTTATCATAGTGAAACTATCTTAGCACTTATAAAAAATGTCCCTTTTTAATATAATTAATATTTATGAACTATGTAATAAAAAATTAATCAGAAATTATTTTTTTTGGTCAAAAGTCAGATATTATTTAGTTCTTTAGTTATGTATGATTCATACTATGACAGTTAAGAAATTCATTCGTCTATTACTCATACTATATCAAGTATGAAAATTATTAAACTGAGAAAATTTAATGAAGAGTAATGACATTCTAGACACTTTACACCTTTTCCTTCGCTATTACAGTATTAAATCAAACATTCTAATAGCAGTATTTCATTACCTAAATCGATAATGTAATGGCTATTAAGTCTCCTCTATTACAGCCGCCATAGCTATTATACTACAGCCTAACCATTAACATGTGCAAGGTACATAGGCTAAGCGTGTTAATCAAATAGACGATCTATTCGCAATAAAATAAACAAAAGAGAAATAAAATAAAATGTAGAATTTATGTGATTCCAACATTCAATCACTGGGAAAGTAATAGCGACAAGTCCACTAGGCAGTGCGCGAGCGACATCAAAATTATTGCTTTATCCTAATGTCGGGTATTGGATAAACTTAGCTCAAAATCAAGAGATAAATCCAACAAGATCTGTGCATAAGTACGGAAAAATTTCGTGGTCAGCAGTTTCTCAACTTAATTTTTTATAAACGTCATTTTTACTTGGGTAAATCTTTCAAAATAATCTTGATTGAAGGGTTTGTTTAAAGACACTTTGACTGCTATTTTTTTAATTAATTTGTGTAGCTTTAACGATTAGTTTTTTAATGAAACTGAATTACTTGCATTCTTTCGATTACATAAGTACAAACATGTAGAATTATATACATTTTTTTTATCATTTTAGAAAATTTAAAACATTTCAAAGCCATTTCATGTACTTTCACAAATTATATCCTCACTTTTCATAACCTGAATTTCTTAAAAATTTTATAACATTTTGGAATCTTCGTGATAATAATGCACGTCAAATTGGAGTTCAATTATTGTTCTCTGGGCAAGTGATTTTACAGTGACAGTGAGACAAGGTTGTCCGTCTATTCTTATCCTTGTATATATGAGGAAAAGTCAAATATGCTTCCTAACGTGGCTGCAAGAACACGAGGAAATCATAAAACTTGTTAGCATAAACTTAATAAACACTTTTATTAAAATAAACATGGATTAACTTAATAAACACTTTCATTGAAATAAACGATTTTCGACCACGAAAACTAATCAAATAGATTGATACTGAGTACAAGACCACAACATTTTCTCGCACTACATGCATACGCATTAACCTACCGATATATATAAACTTCTCGAAAACATAAATCGAACACCTATCATGCGTGGATTTGATATCAAAGAAAATAATCACCGAGATCTATGTGGGATCAAATTAATAGCACTAGAAGTCATGTGGTAAGATCTCTTCATCACTAATTCTACGCATCTTTTTTTTCATAACATGGGGTTTCCAAATCGTGTGGCTCAACCAATCTCACGGATACACCCAAACTGCCTCATCTGTATGCGTCAGCCACGACTCCACCCAAAGGGTGGCAAGCCTGCCCTCCAAGGTAAATATGAGGGAATAACGTTGTGATTTGACCGCAGGAATTTGCTTTATCTAGAGTAACCGATTAACCACTGAGTCAACCGTTTTAAGAGTTAATATCTACTACTTTGTTTCATTTCATTGTAATAGTAAAGGAATAGGGATGAATATCCAAAATGCTGCTACTCTCCAATATTATATAAATATTATATTTTTACATATAATTTATCACTTATTTTATTGGCTAGTTAACAATTTTACCTACAAGTTACATTATGAGTATTATGTAATAAAATTATGAAATCTAGATTAGATGAATTATATATATTATGAAAATTATAAGAGTCATCTTTATTGTTCAAGCTAAATCAAATATTTGTAACCAATATTGTTGATATCTTTCATTGTAAAGAACAAATAACCAAAGCTTTGCCACTTGAATAACATAATGTATATGCGAAAATTCTGTTTTTCTGGGATAAGATCGCTATGGATGCATACAGAAGATCATATTAAAAGTGCATTTGGTACAATCCTCCCCCTAAGGTAGGTGAAGGAGTCCCATGGTCACCTTGACCGAGAAAAGTCATAATTCACACATGCGACACGTCATATTCCATTCGAAGGCTTGGCCACTACCAAACCAAGAGGTTTGAAAATTATATTATAAGCATCCTAAAATTATAATTATAGAGTTCCTACATATACGATAAAAACTTTTTTTGGCTAAAAACAAGAACATCTGTATCTGTTGAAATGTCATTATTAGCATACGATAATTGACAATACTATATTAAGTGCCAAGGAGTTGGAGTAGATTTCCTTATTTTTGCACCTGATTTTCAGCAAGCCAATCCTTTTAAAAAGTACTTATTCAGATAAGTCTACTGTAGTTAAATTTTCTTTGGCATAATTCAACTTTTTATATCGTGGAGACGATAGGAAATACTTGACTTTTGGCCACAATAGTAATAAGTTGATGACTTTTCATTAGGGGTGTCAACGGGTCGGGTCGAGTCGGGTTTTCATGATACCCGACCCGATCCGAAACAATGAATATATGTGCTTGGCCCGACCCGAAACAAAACCCGAACATGATATAGCAGCACAATCGGGTCGGGTTCGATTCGGGTCGGGTCGGTTCGGGTTCGTGTTTAGAGGTTTACTAATCATTATTGAAATGATACATCACGAAACAAACCATTTGGGACAACTAAATCCTCCCATTCATAAAAAGTGAAACATCAGACCAGACGGAATCACCAAGATAGGAGAAATTTCACTCTCGCTAACTGGGCAATTCTCTTCTAAAGCTCCAGAACTGACAGAAACATGAATAGTACCACAAGCATCCAGATTATGGTCACACATATCAACACTAGGAGTTGTAAGCATGTTCTTCTATCTCCATGCAAGAAATGGAAATGCTGAGTAAATGCATATGCATCAGAACAATCCGAGAAGAAGGCTCGATGACGTAGACAATCGCAAACGATAGCAAGCGGAGCATTGAACTGAAATTTCCAACTCGATTTTCTCGATCAACTCCAGGAAAAACAAATTATCCTGCGCCGATATCGGCTCCTGGGCATCTTTCGCTACAACGATTAAGAATGCGACATCCAATTGCACCGAGGCCGACCCAATCGCGACCAAAACCGCGATCATCACTCGAGATCGCAGCGAACGACGCAGGAACAAAGCCGGAGGCTATTCCTCTTCCGAGAGAAGTCGATCGGGCGCGGAACTGCGGGGGCGATGAGATCGGGTGGGAAGGAGGACTCACCCGGAAGGCTGGGACGGTGACGGCAACCGCTGCGACGGAGTCGGCGGAGCCATGGCGGCGGTTCCTCGGAGTCGGCGATCACGAGCTCCGCCCAGGCGCCGGCGAGAGAGATCCGGCAATTGAAGCAGGGAGAGGGATCTCCGGCGGGCGAACTCGAAGCTCGCGAGAGCCTCGAATATGGAGGTCGAAGGAAGGAGGGAAGGCGACGATGAAGTTCCCATTGCGAGGAGGTTTCCATCCGTCACTGACTTCTCGGTCCGGAGCTTTGGAAGAAGATGATAGGGTTTCCGGCGCGCTTGGAACAAGAAGGACAAATGGCTCTTGTTTGTTTCGGGTGGGCTTGTTTCGGGCGGGCTCGGGTAGATCCAAAACAAGTTTAAGCCTTGTTTTTACTGTTACCCAAACAAGGTAAGGCCAACCCGACCCAATATGAAAATTCCTTGTTTGGATCGGGTCGGTTCGGGTTGGGTCATGTTTGAGCGGGTACTTTTGACACCCCTACTTTTCATTAGTCCAAAAGTATAGATTTCGTCACAAACCAAGTGACGATCTACACGATTTATCTACGTAAAATAGAGGATAAGAGAAAGGTTTAGCATAATGAAAACTCTTTACACTGTAATATAATAGCCTAGATAAAACTAATAATAGAGATACGAATATTGATTCATAACATGACTTGAAAGATTATTACAAGTATATGAATATGGCTCACCTGTTTAAATATTCAAGATGCTCGAAAATTTTAACACATTGAAGACCAAACCATGCCGCATAAATACGTTTTGAACAAAAGTGAAACCAAACCAAACCAAACCGATTGTATTTTGGATCGCAGTTTGGTTTGGTTTGATTTTCTATCTATTTTTTTTTTGGGTTAAATCCACTGAAAGTAACATAGAAAGAGTAGTAATTTCATGAGGAATCAATAGATAGTACTAAATTAAGTTCGCACAATTACTCTGGGCCTTAAGTGTAGTCCTTTCTTTACACCGGAAACTACATAAAGGCAGCGTGCATGTGCAACTAAACACAATATATTTAATCTTTTGGGTGGTCATTTTTTATATTTTGATATAATGTTTTCCATTCTTTATTTCAAGTTGTTAATTTTCGTACAAGTTTTTTCTATATCAAGACTGATTTCTTGACCATAAAGAAGAAAAAGAAATGTCTCTCGTATTTATAGTTCTGAAGAATTAATTCAAACTCGTAACTTTTTAATTGGCCACCATCAGCCAACAACACGCGACGCAAGTTCTATGGATTGTGTAGCAAGAAACAAGATGTTATATCTCCTTCGGAACATTGAGTAAGAGTTCCTCCAAATCAGCACGTGCATGCAATCTATTTGCCACAGCCTGCAAGCGCAAGCGATCTGGTAGACAGAAGTGTGTGACTAGTGGTTAATCGGGGGAGCATCATGCGTGACAAAAGATGTGAATAGAATTAACTGTGTATGTCTGATATTTAGCTCTGGCGAATGTACCATAGAATTATACATCAGCCCCCCAAAAAGAAAGGAAGAAAAGAAAGGAGACGATAAAACTATTAAACTCGTGTTGTGGCATGGGGGTTGAGAAATAAAGAAATGGTGAGCGAAAGTCCTACATGCACCGCAAGTCCGCTCCTCACATATCTCCTTCACCGAAAACATTTCACCTGCGAGTCAAACCTCTCCCCGCGCGTGCCGAAGCAAGAAATTATTGAGAAACTCACACGCTTGATCTCTCTCTCTCCCTACCTCTCTCTCTCTCCATCTCTTTGTCTATATAAAAGAAAGAATTGTAGATCTTATCAGGAGAAAAAATCGGCTTCGCAAGTTGTTGCCTCAACCTCTCTCTCCATGATAGCGCAACACTTGCTCGGTAATCGTAGTTATCTGTTCTTCTTCCATGCTTATCTTCTCCTTTGTCCTCTCCTTCTTTTTAGGCCACCTTCCGTATGTTTATCGTGATTTTGAGGCTTAAAGCTTGCATGTGTCGGTTCAAGTGTTAACTCCGATTAGCTGGTGTTGTTACTTGCTCTCAGATGCCGTTGGCGAAGACTAACGTGTTACCAGATCGAGCTTGTTGTGTTCAGCATACATTCTAACTCGACTGGTGAGTGAATTCTATGTGATGCTCGTCAAGTGAGTGGCCCTTTGCGGTTTTGTCCTTTGGTTCGTTGTCTGTTCGACCTGATCATATGTGTTCGGGATTGTTGGGAAAGACCTAGTTTTGATCTTTCCAACCTAAAAACGAGTTGGATCATCCTAAGACCAAGTCAAGATATCAAGTACTATCATATCTGTCGTCCAACAGTTGAACTTTTTTGACCGGAGAAAACATTCTTAGAAGTTTTTTGTTTTTTTAAATTTTCTCAAGACAAATCAGCCAAATATCTTTGATTGACTGTTAAGTCTTACATATGATCTCACACACGCATGGAGTTCTCTAAATCCCGTGTTGGTTCGTTGATTTTCCCTCCTATCGCACTGTTGGCAAAAACCTAATTTTCATCTTTCGGAGCTAACAAAAACTTGAATCTTCCTAAGGCTACTTTTGTATATCAAGCACAATCATATCCATCGTCGAACAATTTAGATCGTTTGACCCGAGAAATCATTTTTAGGAGTCATCGCCATAATGTTTGTTTTTTTTTCAAGACAAATCAACCAAGTATCTCCCATTGACCTATGATTCTTACATATGATCTCACACTTGCACGGAGTTCTCTAAATTCCGTGTTAGTTCCTTGATTTTCCATCTCTCTCTCTCTCTCTCTCTCTCTCTCTCTCTCTCTATATATATATATATATATATATATATATATATATATACACACACACACACACACACACACACACACACACATATGGAAATCAATATGGTGTGAAATATTCTCTTCTCGAGTGATTTTATGGCGGTTGAGCGTTTTTGGGTTTGAACGACAAGTAAAAAGTAGAGGAAACCCCGCTCGGTTCCGTAATTTAAGTGAGGGGCCTTGGCGGTGGGTTATTGGGCTAGTCTCCCCCGAGGTATAGGTGCCCCGATTACCTGTGCGGGCTCGTCCCCGGGGAATGGTGGCGGATCCTCGGTTAGAGGAACAAACCTTACCCAAAAAAAAAAAAAGTAGAGGAACAAGGTCGTCCTCAACTGTTGTGTGCTTTTCAATGTCTACATATATATGAGCTAATTCTAAGTTAAAAGCTGGCTGTGAAAGGGAGATTGAATCGATAAGAAAGCTACATCTCATGGTGTAGGTCTTGCACTTTGTCGCTTCGTTCCTTAGCGACGGTGGTTTGATTATTTATGTCGCGGATTTTACCCTAATAGGCTTGCGACAGACGGAAATTAGGATAAAAAAATAGAGTGAACTGGTGCGGGTAGATGATGTTTATTTATATATATGAACAACGTGGGAGAAGATCTTGATTCGTGGATCTACATAACCCTTGTAGAAGTAAGATATTCGAAGCTTTTAAGGAATTGATTGGTGAGAAGTAGAAGGATATTCAATTAGCCAGATAATGAGAACAATGAGTTATGTAAACATCTGACACGTGTGACTATCAAAATCGGGAGCAGATAAGTTCAACCAATCAATTTTTTTGGATCAAGATTACTAGTTTCAATCTGTGCATGATTAGAAAAGTTAAGTTGCTAGGTGGAGGAAGACTATGCTTATACTAGGCCTCTATACATTATTGATACAAATGATGCCGAATACTTTGATGTGCCCGAAAATCATGTCACATAAAGGACATTTTGTTCTCTTTGTAATAGTCTGGACCACGTACATGAAATTTCGCTTGTGAATCATCTGATTTTACTGCGTTCGCGTCAGGAAATTCTGTTCCATGAACGGTACAAGTTGCTGGGGACACTATAGCTCTCACTCTCAGGCTCATGTTCCCGAGAGGACCCAACAATTATTGTGTTAGGTTAGCTTTTAGTACCACTATAACATTTTGTGACAGCGTCATTGTCCGCCAGCTGGGAGTTAAAAGGTCTTTTTCTTCTTTTTCTTTTACCATGCTGTCAAAACTTATGTTCGAGCACCTCGAGTCACAAGTAATTTCTAAACTAAGCCAAACTTGCATCATGATAGCCCTCTTTAGCAAATACATAGGAGGAGACGGCGAACAAAACGCTTCTTCTAAACAAGAATAAGTTCATGATAATCTCTCTTTTCTGCGTATAATATGTTTCCATTCGGTATTACGAGCCAAGACTCGCCTGCCATTACTTGGTAGGATAAACTATGAGTGTCGACAACCTTTAGGATTTTAAATCGATAAGTTGATGTCATTGCGTCTTCCTCATAAGAAAATCGGTTGCAACAGTCTCGATCAAGACACATTACGATAGAGGTTGAACAGACAACGAAGCTGAGGTAGGAGCAAGAGGCTTCTCAGTTGATGAGTGTTTGCATGGAATTTGACACCCTTAAACCCTAGTTAGTTCCTTGTTTGATATTGGTGCACCATATGAACCTCGATAATGAGCAAAGCCCAGGAGGTAAGTAGTCAAGAAGTAGGTACTGCCTTCTCTCTCTCTCTCTCTCTCTCTCTCTCTCAATTAGGAAATGATATGTTATGATTTTTCAACCACTGTTTACCGTATCATGAATCCGCTACTGCTTTAATGGAAGTAACTGATGTACATCTTAAAGTCGCCTGCAGCTTGTACATGTAGTTTGGGTGTGTAATTATAAATTTGTCTTGTATGATATCCATTCTCGTTATCACTAAGTTTACAATTACAAGTAATGAAACTAGTCAGTTATTTAACTTCATACACAGGATGAAGTTATAAGAAAGGACAAAAGGTAAATGAGCATCCAACTTATGATTATCGCATGATGATGATGATGATGATGTAAGAGGGTGGTTTCCAAGTGTTTTCCGTTGCTTGCGATGCATGAAATCGCCAGCTTTTACTCATCTCAAGTCATGTCTTAGCTAGAACCATATGCTTTCTGTTAATACTTTGTTTGTAAAATTAATTAAAAGGTGTCTCGTTCCCCATAGAATAGATGTGAGTGTGTAGGCTAATATATAAGTGTGGAAATCTTCTAATCTTACATTCGAAGACAATGTGCTAATTGGGCTAAATCCTATAATACCCGAGTGCGAGTGCACGATTATAAGGCGCACTTAGCACTTTGCATCCTTGTGGACCAGAATTGGCCTAATTAATGGTTATTTTTTTTAATTCGAATTTATAACTTCTGCCTAATGGTTATTAGGCGTTCTTGAAAAGTTGTATCTATTCAAACATAATTTTTCACTCTTTTATATTCAACGTTTCTCGTTCAATATTTTCACTTCAGTTTTCGTTTTGTTTTTTAAAATACAACATTTATTCACCAATTGTTTCCTTTTGAGAGTTTTTGGAGAAATACTAAACCGTGGACCAGAATTGGCCTTATTAATAGTTTTTTTATTAATTCAAATTTATAACTTCTACCTAATTGTTAGTAGGCGTTCTTACAACCTTTGAAAGGTCGTTTCTATTCAAACACAATTTTTTGTAATTATATATTCAACATTTCTTGTTCAAATGTTCTTACTTCTAAAGCAAACTAAATACGAGATTGAGAAGAGGATTCGACATTTCTTATGGGCTGGTATTACAACTAATCATGGATCGCACAAGGTTGCATGGCAAGAAGTTTGCTCACCTAAAAGGGAAGGATGATTAGGATTGCTTGATCTGAACATATAGGACAAAGTTTTGTTAGGCCGCACACTGTGGAACCTCATCAATGATTCATCATCTTTCCTTTGGAGTATTTGGGCTCACAACACAAAATGCAAAGACATCCCAATCATGTGGTTCGACATTAGGGATAATATGGGTTGAGTTGGCGTTGTCTCGTCAAATTGCAACATGTTCTAACCTCGGTTATATCTAGCTCAAGCTACTGTTGCCGAGATATATTTGACGAACTTAGACATGGGGGACCAATTGTGGAGTGGTACAACCCAATTTGGAGCAGCAACATTAGCAAACAATTTTATTGGCTGGCTAGTTTATAGAAATAGACTACCGACAGTAGAGATGTAGCTCGATGGATGACTTCAATTGATATTCAGTGCAACTTTTGTAGGGTCGAAATAGAAGACAGGGTATATCTATTCTTCCAGTGTGAATTGACAGGTGGCATATGGTGCAATATCCTTGCACAACATGGGATTAGGTGTTCTTTAGAAGGATAGAATGAGGAACTTCAATAGATGAATTGGGTAACAAAGGGAAAACACTTGGCAGCGAGACTCCACATGATCTCTTTCCTAGATTGCATTTGAATAGAACAACTTACACAACACAAGCACTGAACTAGTTACTTTTCACCTGTTGAAGCTCCAACGAATTCCGACTAAAAGAAAATGGCATTATTCTACGATATTTCACTCATGTTTACATGGACTCCCAGTTCATCTATTTTCGAAATAAATGTATCGAATAGTAGAAATTAATGCAACTTCTACCACAAAAATGATGAAAAGCATTTTGAACTGAAATTTCAATTCCCAATGTCTGAGGCAAAGTCAGCATGTAGTTTGGAAACTTCTATTGACCCATTAATAGATGAGGACCATCAGAGAATAAAAATCGAGAGGTTTAAATTACTACAATGTCTAGGTTCTTCTTTCTCTTTCTTTGTTCGTAAAGGAGGATTCTATTTCACCTTTAGCAGGAAGGTAGACAATAACATCTAAAAACCATTAGATAATCTTTAAGTTGCAAAGGAAGCTTCAAGCCACAGAGTAGGCCAATGTACAATTACTTGAACTTTTAGGATACGTTGCTCAATTCGAGACTTCCATTAAATAAATTGTCATGTCATGTGATTTTACTAACAGCAGTAAGTACAATTATAAAGAAAAAAAAAACAAAAAGAAAACCACAGTCATTGTTGCTCTCCGCCATTGATGTCCACAATGGCTCCATCATTGAGTTGGTTTGTGGTGGTGAGCGAAGTGTGGTCGTGGTGGCGAGTTGGTGACAATGAGCCAAAGACTAATGAGGCTAGGGGTGGGGATGGTTGATGCGATGGCGATGGCGGTGGCGGTGGCGGTGGCGGTGGCGGTGGCGGTGATCCTGTTGGTGATGGTGGACGGTGGAGAATTTTCTAAAAGAAAAGTTAGGATTTTTTGTTGGGTGATAAGGAGAGAGAGGCTACTGTTGTCGACGATCTTAGTGTCCATGCCAACAATTTTCTGTCGGCCTTTTAACAAAGCCTCGAATTAAGGAGGCATTTGAAAATTTGAGGTAGTTGATTGAATGAGAAAAGGTTTAGATACTCAATTGAATAATGAGTAAAAGTTCTTAATACATCCAATGACACTATTGGAAACAAAGCTCAAAATATGCGCATTGTTTAGCCCGTGTCTCGTATGATAATTTAAGGTTAGTGAATTAATTTATAGGCACGAGTTTACCTGAATGGACTTTCTCATCATACATTTCTTAAGAGAGAAGATCCAAACTTATAAAACTATTCAGGAATGGGCACTCTAAAGAAAATGCATTGTTTTTTATTTCCCAAATCACTAAAAGTGTGAACAATTTCATATTTGGATCACTTGTTCAAATATAGCTCACTTCTTGTCTAATTTACGAGGTAATTGGACTAATCTATGGGCTCAAGGTTTATTTGTCTAATGTGGACATTTTTGTCTTAAAAATAATTTAGTTCACATGGACTAGAGAAACAATTTCAAGAAACTATGATAGATATCCTGTGATCTTATAATGGTGATGGTGTATCCTCAACCAGATTTGGCCTGGGAAAAACCATATGAATACAAGGAGAAAACTCATTCAATGAATATAGCAGACAAAACCATAGTAAAATAAATATATGAAAGCAAATTTTTTTTTTTTTTTAGAATCTATATACGTGACACTATCTCTTAATAAGCTAATGACTAGGTCTAATAAAATAAGTTATCTATTGATTTCTCGTTTTTATAGTTCTTTTCAATATGAAAATGACTTAGCGAAATTACTTGTACGTGTGTTTTTTTTTTGGCCGAAATTATAACATGTATATGTTACAAGGCACCAGAAAACTAATGCACATGTTGTTTGAATTAGGAGATTGTGGATAGTGTAAACGAGCTAGCACTTAAGTCGAAATGCCGAATGAGCAGCGTTAACACAACAAGATCTGGAACTGAGATCCCCGGTTTCAGATATGGTGATCACTGATCAGTACCTTCGGATATGACAAGATCTCGAAGGCAATGGCCAGGAACTTGGCAACAGTGTCGAGAACTCGTCGACACTAGCCGCGAAGAGAAGAGAGAGAGAGAGAGAGAGAGTCACAAGGGTGACAGACATCCAAGCAGAGACTAAGCCACGAGCTGATGTGGAGATGGCAATGGAGGTGGGTGGTGGTAGCCATTTGAGATGGCGATGCCAATGGCACAAGCGAGCCATTGTTTATCTGTGCATAAGCAACTACAGAGAGAGAGAGAGAGGGTTAAGGTCAATAGCACACCCAAAAACATAAGCTCTTCATACCTTATAGGCAGCCTCGTCCAAACACCGACACGATATTACACGCTTTAGTTGCGGCTCGCCCGCACTAGAACGCTTTAAAACACATCGTGCTTGTTCAAGGTTGCGCAAGACTTATCTGCTAGCGCAATAACTTATATCTGGACGATGTGAGATCAGAGGCATATGTGAAGCCGAACATACCCAAATGATGACATCAAGAACAAAGAACAAAAGCTAAAGAGGTTGCAAATTGCACTCTTCATATTACTAGGAGGCACACACATAGTTCCCTTATCTTTTATGTTGAGACTCACTTGCTTTTTTGGTTTTTCTCGATAAGTAAGATTTTATTCAGCAACAAACACAGGAGGAGGGTAGCAATCCTGGTACGAGCTCAAAAACACAAGCTCAGGCGCTAGAAAGCAAACCCCAAGCCTCCAATTACAGCATAAGATCCTATGTCTCCCTGAAGCAAACTTTCTCTGCACATTTACACGATCGAAGTCGGTCACTTGCAAGTGTTCTAACCCGACAAATTATAGAACTAGGATTTCCAGAAGGAGGAGGACTATGAAGGAGTTCACATACTAGTATCTGGAATGACCATAACATTTGATCTTACTGAAGTTTCTTAATCAATTAAGAACATCGTTTCCTGCTTATGCTAAGTAAGATTTTACTAGGTTTTCTTAGGATTTGCAACTTATTTATTGGTGATGTTGAGTACTACAACCCAATTTCGCTCGGTTTCCTCTAGGGCACACCTTGTGATATTCCGTCTCCATAAGTGAGAGGCCCGACAAGAATGAGGATTTTTGCCTACTTATGTCTATCTCCTTAGAGTTCTAAATTGCACATTTTATCGGGAAAATTACGCAATTAATCCTCAACATATTGTAAAGATGCCAATTCAATCATATATTTTTCAATTTTGTGCCACGTCAGCAATTTCCAGCAAAAACTGGCCAGAAAGATTACATTGAAATTTCACGCAAATATTTAGGACTAAATTGACAAATTTAAAATATTAATACTAAATTGGCATTCATATAATAAGTTTAAAATTGATTGGGCAATTTTTTTTTATTTTATCCCTTGAAAAGCATGGCTAATAATATAAATATATATTAAGAGAATCTAAAAATCTCCCTTAATTTTCAATATCTCTCGGGATTGTACATGTATCACTCCTGATTGAACATATTTTTGAATGATTCTAATTGATTGTAATTGATGTAACAATATTTTGAATTCAGATTCAATATTATGTTCCTTATCATCTTGAAAAAAAAATTGTCATATTCTTTTTGTAATATCTTGTGCATATCCTTGATTGCTTATTTCCTGATTTTTTATTGTTGATAAGTCAAGTGTTGATGTATAAGTAAATAATAAGTTAACTTCATCAATGGGTTTTTTTCCTTTGATTAATACCACGAAAAACCTCAAATTGGTGCACATATGACAAATTTATACAAGAATAATTTTTTGACCACCAAAAGAAAAAACCCCAAATCAATACACATATAACAAATTTACTCCAAATGAATTTTTTAACTACCAAAAATCCCAAACTGGTACATTTGTGACCAATTTACCATTCGTTAGTTTCGGTTAAATTGGATTTATACCACAAAAAATTATAAACCGGTACGCCTGTGACAAATGGAGGACAAAACCCCAAATTGGTACACCTGTTAATGAATTAAAGACTGAACTTTCAATTGCACTTTTGACACTCCACAAAAATGGCTTAGCATATTGTTAGAAATTATTAGCATGAGTTAACATTTTATAAAGTGAAATGCAAAAAACTTCTAAATAATTTATTTACTAGAAAAGACAAAGCCTTAATTCAACGAAATATAAGGACTGGTAAATAGACGGAGTTAGCATTATATACTTTATCAAGTTATATGTATTTAAATTACTATATCCCCTAAAAATGCTTGACATAATTGAAAAGATGGTGGTAAACTTATTTTAAGACTAATGCTCCGTTTGATTCATGGAAAATAAATGATTTAGAAAATATTTTCCTAAAAATAATCACATATATCACTTAACATTATCCGTCCATAAAAAATGTGTTCACTATCAACAATAATTTATACATAAACATTTTCGTTGACCATGAAAATATTTTTTGTCATTTATATTTGTAAATAATAAAAATGATTATTTTTAGAAAAATATTTTTCAAATAATTCATTTTCCGTGAAACAAATGCACCCTAATAGTAAAATATAATCAATACTATCTTTTTTCTGGTAAAACAAAAACAACAAAAGATTTTTGTTATACTCTTACATAACTGGAATGAGAATAATAGGTACTATTGTGTATACCCTAATGAAATTCACTTTACGTATATTGCGAATCGTAGCGTATTTACATAAAATTTATTATATTTTTCTTTATCACATAGCTATTGTTTTTAGCTCTAATCTGCATTACATTAAGATGTTTAAAATTAGATTGAGACTTTCAAAATATATTTTAAATTTTCTATTTTAATTACCAAAAAATTGAAATTTTAATTCGCAGAAAGAAACGCTTCAGTTTTTTGTTTTATTTTTGTCGGTTCTCTCTCATCTAGGTTAAATGTAGTGAAAGTGTTAAAAAGTCTTCTTTCGTTATCTACAAAACTCTGAATATCTTATGTAAAAGATAAACACCCCTCATTTAAATAAATACATTAAAATAATTGAAAGCCTATTTTAGTATAATATATATATAAAAGAGACGATTCCGTTATCAGGAGCACGTCAAACGTGTCGGCATCGCACCACACAAAACTCTGAATATCTTATGTAAAAGATAAACACCCCTCATTTAAATAAATACATTAAAATAATTGAAAGCCTATTTTAGTATAATATATATATATATAAAAGAGACGATTCCGTTATCAGGAGCACGTCACACGTGTCGGCATCGCACCACTTCCCCAAAGAAGCCAGCAAACCTGAGCCGTCCGCGTTGAGAAAACCCGAGTGGGGCCCCACCCTTTCGCTATCCGGAAACCCGAACGGCGAGGACGATATTAGGGGTACAGCATGATCCGGGTGAACAGTTCCCAAAATTGGAATCGGGAACTATCGGTTGGGAACCAGTGGTCCGGTCCGGTTCTCAGGTGGATCCATAGAATCGGTCCCACTAGCCAAGGACGAAGACGAAAAGATGAAGATAGAGATGGAGAGTTGGAGACACTGAGGTGAACATCGACCGAAAAGAGTGAGAGAGTGAGAATGAGTGTAACGCGCAAGCGAAAGAAAGTGTTTCTCGACTCGATGTAAGGCTATGAGCGTCAAGCAAGTTAGGTTAAATTTAGAGATTTATAATTTTTTTAAAAAAATAAATATTATATTTATTATTATATTTCCAATCCGGTTCGGATGGACGGGCGGGCGACGGTTTCACACCTAGAACCAATAACCGGACCGGTACCCACCGGTTCCCAAAAATTGAAACCGGGTCGATCCGGTTCCGGTACCCATCAGTTCCAAAAAATTGAAACAGGGCCGATCCGGTTCCGAGTAGTTCCTGATTCTTTTACACACCCCTAAACGATATATATCCCCCGCCCCATCCCGCCCCGACCCGACCCGACCCGGGCCTTGACCCAAAAATATCTTGGTCATCGCGAGAAAAAGTCGTCGCCGAGGTCGCTTCCCGAACATTCTTGGAGCCCCCAAACCCCGCCCGCTAGAAGAATCTCTCAGATATTTTTTTTCTTCGGCTCGGTTCGTGGCAACAGCCATTGTCGCCTCTCTCTATGGAGCTTCCTCTTCTTCATATATATATATATATATATATATATGGAGATGGGCCGCCTCTCCCTTTCGTTGCTAGTGTCCGGCGCGAAGCACGAGCGTCCTCCAGCTGCGGCCTCGCGACCAAGAGATCTTGCGGTAGCGCGACTTGGGCTTCGGTTGAGCTCGCGGGGTTCGATTGTTCTTCCTTCTGGTTTCGTCGAGCGTGATGATGGGTAAGGGAGACCGGGGGGATATGGAGGGTGACGACGGCTCGCGGTCTTCGTTTTACGGCATCCTCGGCATCGCTCCCGGTTCTTCTTTGGAGGAGATAAGGCGCGCTTATCGCAAGCTCGCTATGGTAAGTCCCGAAGACGAACTCGATTAGCGTGGAAAGATGAGAAATCTCGGAGTTGGGTTGCGCCTGAATGTGCTGCGATTGATTGAATTATCGAGCTTTTTGAGTGGATGAACCGTGTCGGAAGCTTAATGTTTCCTGAGTGTTTCGTTTCGGTGCAGCAATGGCATCCCGACAGGTGGACGAGGAACCCTTCTCTGTCGGGCGAGGCCAAGCGCAAATTTCAGCAAATTCAGGAAGCTTACGAAGGTAAATTATTTGTCTATCCCCTGTTTTTTTTTCTTTTTTCCCCATCGCCGTTTTAAGTATGAAGGGGGGCGTTTTCACCGTTCTCTGTTTTTTCTTGCTTTGATGGAACAGTGTTGTCAGACCAGAGGAAGAGGACGTTGTACGATGCGGGGTTGTATGATCCGGATGATGAAGTAGATGAGGTAAGCCATCGAGGGAACTATCCAAGTCAGTCGATTTGTGAGATCATGTCTTTTGCTGCGTGCTGAATTTGTTGCTTGTCGCTGTTTCAGGGGTTCTGTGACTTTCTGCAAGAGATGGTGTCTCTCATGGGACAGGCCAGAAGAGAGGTATGATATGATCGCATGATTTCTTTCTCGCTTCTTTTCCATTTCAGTATAGCATTAACTCGGTTTAGCCATGGTCGGAGATGTTTGTACAGATTTGTTTGGTTTTCAACCTCTAGTGTGTTCGTGAAATCTTGCTCTAAGATGATGATGTCTTGATGCGCTTGTGTTCTTATTTCTAGTTCTAAAAAGCAGAAAAAAAGTTGAGAAATGTGTTATCTCTGTCTCCGTGTTGAGGGCAAAGGGTTTTCAAGGAACACATATATTGTATAATACTTGCCTAATGTAGAGTTATAATTAGAAGGCTCTTGCGCATCCTCATGTGGTTTTCTAAACTCTCTCCTGGTGATCGTTCCTTATCTGAAATAAACTCAGGAGAAACAATATACCATGGAAGATTTGCAAACGATGTTCATGGAGATGGCGCAGGGGTTTGAGTTTGGTCCTTGGTCCTCCGAAGCTATGATCTTTGAGGATCACAAGAGCTCAAAGAGAGCACGGTGCGAATTGGACTTGATGCCAGGGACATCGCATTCGCACATATCGGGGTTCAGGATGTACGAAACGAGCGGTCGTTATTGCCACTGAGACTTGCTCCACTATATGATACGGATGCATGGAGGAAAAGTGGGAAACATCAGAAGGGGTTTCCGGGAAGAGCTCGTGACCACTTTCGAAGCAAACTACGGATATCAAATGCGTGGAAATGGCAGACATGGCCGGAGGAACAACACGATTTTCTGATAGTTGTCGGAAGTGGCTTCTGTGAGGAGTTGTTGCTTGTATTTGTTGTATGGAACTCCCACACCCTCTTGTTGTACAAAGTTTTGGAATGGCCTGTGTCATGTTTGTTCGATTGGGACGAGGCATGTTATGTACAGCAGCAGTTCATATTAGACATTGCCCTCATGAACATTGTATCGGAAGTGTGTTTGTCCTTGATCTTTTATATTAGGCGGTTGGCTTCGTTCTTGCTTTGTGATTTAGAACTTCTATTGCGAACAATCATGTAGAAATCCTAGATCCGAGTATCGAAGTCGGATAATGAGCACGTTTTTATTATTGACTAGTTCCTCGAAAAACAGAGTCCGAAACCCAAAATGAAGTAAAAACATTTTCGGACAACCTTTTTACTACACGAAACGAAGTCTAGATTCTCCTAGCCCGGAGGGGACAAGGAAACAACAAGCCATCGATGCCTCGAGGAATTCTGGACATACGATGGCCCACGAACTTGTGCAAGTTATCGTAATGGAACTACATGAGTGGGTCTGCATGTCCATGGCCGGCGGCCTTACCAAGGCCAATCGTCAGACTGGGCTGGCCTTGCTTTTGTAGAGTAGGCCATCCTCTAGACTAGTCCACTTTGTCCCTATTCTTTCCTTTTTTTTTTTGGTAGAAACTTTGTCCCTATTCTAACCCACTCGAATTGTTGCCCACCCGGCACATCGGCGGCGGTGGGGGCTTAGTCGTACGGGCCAGTTTTCCCCGAATGTGATGTGAAGAGATTGAAATCCCGACTTCTCATTTCTCAAAATGCCCAAATCGATGCAACCAGGTCGCGTTCGGAATCGGTTTAGATGTTACTTTCAAAAAAGAAGTTTCGGACCATCAAAATTCAAAATCCGGGCTCCAACGTGGACAAACAAAACTATTCGACTTATATACTATTCTCACCAAAGGAAAACAAGAACCTGTTCTCAGTTATCGACACCGACAGCGACAGATCGTCTCTTGAGAATAATCCTAAATGAGGGAAAGTTAAAACTGGGGAGAGTCGACCAGTCATAGCTAACTTCCTTTATTGGATAGAAGCCTCATATCCGCTATTATATATTCGATTCCAACATAGATGTAGCCCGAGTAGCAAAATGAGAAAGAAAAAAATCACACTCCCAGTTGCTGCTTACCAAGTCTCACTCCTAGAGAGATATACCCCGATCGAGATGACGATAGGCTCGAAGTACCTGCAATTCCTCCTACGTCCCAACACGAAAGGCGATGGGCATGTTCATCACACTGGCTACCACCTAGTGAGATAGATGGTTGGTACAAAGGCAATAAAGTTCCAATAAGAAATGTTTGGTTTAGTTAATTGAAACTTTACGAGTCCTGAAGTTGACTTGGATTAGAAGCTATCGAGAGATAGAGAGAGAGGGAGAAGGGCATGGAAAGAATATGCTTTTTTGTAGAAAGAAAATGGACGGTGGCCTTCTCTCCATCCCACAACTAATCTCATCTTCCAACTCACTCATCCACATCCACTCCTTCCTAACTTTTTTGTCCCCTTCACATTTCCCAGAAACCTCCACCCAACTTTTACTTTCCAATTCCAAGTTTTTCCAACCGACCCCTCTTGCTCTGTTCCTATTGATTTCACATTGATTGCTGCTTCATCGCTCCACCTCTATGGTCAGTACACCCACAGGATAGGATTACCAGATTGTACTTTTAAATAACTTGATAGATCACCCGCACCAGCATTCTCACTCTATTCCTCCCAATTAATTAGTTGAGAGTTGGGAGGAATTCCTTATTTCCTTAGCTGTCGGATTCTTGAATTATATCCGAATTTCTGGTTATTTTACCTAATTTTATTTACGGGTTGCCTCATACTACTCTAGGCTTAAGTTAGCTATTTGCCTCCGTTCTCAAAGAGCTGTCGAGAGGGGTTTCTCTATTGTTATGCAATATGCATGCGTAACTTTGACCCAGCGAATTCGGTACTGACACATAACGATACAAGTTTCACGGCATCGAGCACGGAACCTTACGATTGAAATCGAATAACATTTTCCACTCGAAAGGTCGCACTGGCGGTATATTAAATATTTACCTCTTCCCACGTAGAGATCGCAATTGGTGGAGAAAATTTCCAAAACTAGTTAAGAATAATCCCGTTGTATGGAAAGAGAGGAACAGCACAAAGGGGGAGAAAGCTAGCTAATGGCGAAAAAAGAAGAGAATATTATTCTTCAAGAAGGATCGAGAGATAAAGTCACAAGTAAAAGATGATAAGGCGATGTTGGACCAGGAACGTATAGACATTATTTAAGAAAGATTCGACAGTCCACGAAAGCGACCGACGTTTATGAATGTTGTCCTAGCCTCAGCATGCCAGACAACGAGCATAGGATTCCCTTGACATACGCATCATCTTGCGACTTAAAACATAGATTAAAGACGAGATATAAAGACGACATAAGTTGGACTATACTGAAAAAATTGGAAAGTTCCCATAAGTTTCCGGCGGAATTCAATCAATATTTGACTCTTAATCTGCCATCGGACATCACTTTGGAATTGCCAGTGAAGTGATGACACAAGGCGGCAATCAAGTCCTTAACGACTGCGACGTGACAAAATATTAGAAAAACTAGGGTTTCTTCAAGGAAAAGGAAGAATGACAGGACGCGTCCTTATTCGATTATGCAGATCATTATATTATACATCACGAGTGAAATAGTTCCAATAAGCTTGTAATGCATATCTTAATCATGCGGTTCCTACAAATCCTGTGCCCTAACATAATAGATGATCTCCTGTTGAGGTTGATGTCTTGTATTCTGTTATCCGAGAGATTATGAGGCGGTTATGAAAAGCCCCCTGACGACTGGACAGCACGGGGGTCTCGCTCTCCGGTGAGCAGGCGGGGGTCCCGCTCCCCGGTGAGCAGGCGGGGGTCCGGGGGCCGCCCCGGCGGGGGTCGCGGGGGGCAGTGCCCCCGGGCTGCCAGAGGCGTTTTATGTTCAGTCATAGAATGATTTATATGGGAAAACTAAATATTTTAGGCTATGTGGGCAATTTTGTAATTTGTGCCATGTAGGGTTTCGCTATATATATTTAGGGCGAAACGGGTCTCTAAAATAGAGGTAAGGGTTGAGAAAGAGTGGCTATACACTTTTCTACGTTATTAGTGAAACGGATCTCTTCTCCCCATGGACGTAGGTAGGCGAAACATCTCCCCTGCTGAACCACGTAAATTCTTGTGTTGTGCGAATTTCCATTACTTTCTTGCATCGTTGATAGGATCGAATTTAGATATTCGACATCCCCCCTCGTTGAAAAGAAAGGGCCATGTGAATTGATTGATTAGTGCATAATTTGATGTAAAGAGAAAGATATAAATTGAATTCGATCATTGGCTGTCCATAAGTAACTTAGTATGAAAGGCATAGCTTTTATGAGCATATGCATATTTTTAAAAAAGTAAGTGCGAGATTCCTTCATTCGAAATTTTGTTCATGCAACAACCTGTACCGATGCCATGATGCGTGCTGAATTGTTTATGAGTGAAGTTAGAAGGAAATTCCTAGGTATTGCAAGCTTTTTCTATAGCGAGGAGATTAAAGATTGTAGGGAAAAGTGTCAAAAAAGTCCTAAATCTTTTGCTTTTGTGCTAATTTAGTCCTAAACCTTTTTTTTTTGTACCATTCAGTTATAAACATTTTGCATTTGTGTCAATTTAATTCTAAATCTTTTTTTGGTGCCAATTCAATCATAAACTTTTTGTTTTTTTGCCAATTCAGTCCTTCCGACCAATTTTGGCCGGATTTTGTTGATGTGGACGTCGACTGGCCACAGGCGCTGACGTGGACAACTTTTTAATAATATTTTAATATTTTTTTGAATTTTTATTTATTTTTTTCTTTTTTTATTTTCTTTTTCTTTTTTTTTCCTCCCCTCCCTCCTTCCTCTAGCCGATCGCCAGACCGGCAACCAGCCAGAGGCCAGACCTCGCCGGCCACTAGCAAGGCTCACCCTCACCGAATGGCCGCGAGGGTGGCCTCGCGCTGGGCGGGCAAGGCTCAAGCCTCACTAGTGACCTCACCGGCCTCTGGCCTCTGGCCGGTTGCCAGTTCGACGACCGGCTGGAGGAAGAAGGGAGGGGAGGGGAAAAAAAGAAAAGAAAAAAATTCAAAAAAATATTAAAATATTATTAAAAGTTATCCACATCAGCGCCGGTTATTGACCGTCGGCCGACCGGCGTCTACGTCAGCAAAATCCGACCACAATTGGCTGGAAAGACTGAATTGGTACAAAGACAAAAGGTTTAGGACTGAATTAACACAAATGCAAAAGGTTTATGACTGAATTAGCACAAAAAAAAGGTTTATGACTAAATTGGCACCAATGTCAAGGGTTTATGACTGGATTGGCACCAAAAAAAGATTTAGGACTAAATTAACATCAATGCAAAAGGTTTATGATTTTTTTTGACACTTTTCCCAAAGATTGTATGTTTAGTAGGTCCTTATAAATTACTCTTATGTAAACTACCAAAGAGGGAAATTCATCTTTGCATGGAGAAAGAGCATGTTATGCACTGAGCAAGTTATATGCAAAGCACCATTTTGCAAGATTTTTCGATTCACTTTACCATGTTTAAATACGCGCTCGCTATTCCAATTGCAAGGAATAACATGAGGGAAAGATCTACCGATCTAGTCGTGTGTTTGTAACACAATCTCTTAAATTTAGCTAATTAATAGGAAATAATTTTTAAAAGAGAAAATGACACAAATAGTTTCTGAACTTTTAATTTGAACAAATGAAAAGTTCAAGACAACATTGCACATTGGGCTAAAATTCAAGGACCATGTCAAAAAAAATTAAAAGTTTGGGTACCACATTGCACATCGGATCAAAGCTAAGGGACCATTTTTTTCCCCAAAAACAAGGAAAATGAGATGCTCAATCGAAACCATCAATCCACCATGAAGAGTAGCGGTAGGTTGCGTGATCCATTAATTATGGGCTAAAAATCAATAAACAAAGTAGACAATACACAAACCCAAGTACAATCATTGGAAGAACCAAACCCATCACGCCAATACGTGCCATACGAAAATTTCACCAGAAAAATAAACATTTATGCCAACATCAAAGTGGAGAGGGGGGGGGCCCCGCCCCCCAATTCATGAACCATCCCACATGCCCACTCTCGTTCCCTTATCATACAAGGCAAGGTAAGGCCTCGCCACACCACCCTCCCCTCCCCTTCCCCTTCCCCTACAAAGTCTCGTAGCAAGAAGAACACGTCTCATTCGCTCCTCTTTGCCTTCCTAGTCACTCCCCCCCACCCCCGAAAAGCCAGTCGTCCTTTTTCTTTTATTTTCCTCCTGCACTTTCCATGCACCCTTCATAACGTCACCCTATGCAAGGTCCGATCCTCACACCCTTTTAGTCTCTCTCTCTCTCTCTCTCTCTCTCTCTCTCTTTCTCTCTTGATCGGATCACGAGATTTTCCAGGCAAATTCTCTTCGATGGCTAAGTTGGGCCTCGTGTTGGTCCTGGTCCTGGCCACCGCGATCCCGATCAGGGGACTTAACTCGCGGAACCTGGACGACACCTCCGCCCCCGGATCGGACAAGTGCGGCTCCTGCAGTCAGTCGCCTCCTCCGCCGCCGTTGCCGCCGCCGCCCGCCCCTTACCCACCGCCGCCGCCCGCCCCTTGCCCGCCGCCCCCGCGGCCACCCCCGTCCCCCCACAAGAAGCCACCGTGCTGCCCCGTGCTGCCACCGCCGCCGCCGCCGTCCTCCTACATATACATCACCGGCCCGCCGGGGAGCTTGTACCCCATCGACCAGAGTTTTAACGGCGCAGGTCAGAGCTCCACCGCCGGCATGCCGCTCCTGGTGGGATTGGGGCTGCTGGGTCTTCTGGCGCTTTGGTGAACCAAATAGGATGGGTCTTGTTTCTATCTTATTAACTCTTTCTTTTCCCGATCTTAAGGACTATAGAAGATCAAGCGCAAGCCATAAGGTGGGCCGAAATACTTCTAGGGACAACGTGGTATGGTTCAGTAGATGCGTTCGAGGACGGCAGGCGATCTGACGAAGAAAATTTTTATACTTTTTAAGGGGAAGTGAGTACACAAAATCTGGGACATATGCTTCTTTTAACCTTTTCGGATTTTCTGTTCATTCTTCTTCTTCTTCTCCTTCTTCTTCCTCCTCTTGTCGTGTTCTCTCCTTGTACTTGCTCCGTCTTCCAATTGTTCAATAATTCGATCATTCGGATACATATCTCTATATAAATCAAGAAACATGATTTCGTCAAAATCGAATTCTCTTCGACACAGTTCGGTGAATCTTTACCATCTTTCCAGGGCACGCTGTATGATTCTGGTTGTTATGCCCCCAAGCTCTGTTTCTTGGTCGGCGCCTATGGTTTACTTACTTAATTTCCATGTGATGCTTGGTTTATCTTTTGAATTTTGTTCGTTTAAAATGATTTGGGTCGTCGAGAAGCTTGCGTTTCCACTCACGTCTCGATTTGAATGCGTTGTTTTCAGTGGAGCCCCACCGTTAGTTGGTTGATGTCCTTTGATCGAGCAATTTCATGTCTACTAGCGGCTGGCACTATCAACGCTATTCATATTATAATTTAAGTCGGTCTTAGTTTTTTTTCGGATGCAACCGAATATTTATGGAGGACGGCCCACTCATAATACTACAAAAAAAAAAAGAATTTATAATTTGCATGAGGACGTTTCGCTCGAGTGAATGATTCCCTTTTATCGTATGGGTTGAGTAGTTTGCAATTCTAATTTGAATGCGTCTTTCAATCGGTCAAGTAGGTTCGAGCTCAATTCGAGTTTTCTTAGCTCTAAAGAGGCGACTACTTACTATGAGAAAAAATAGAGGTCTGAAAAACATCGACAAAACGGTTCATCAAAATTCCAAAAATAAAATCAATCGCCGCACACGGAATCTCAAGATTTCCTTTTTCAAATATTAAGCCACCGACGGATCAATGCGCCGTTACTGTCACAGCGGTCATGTAAAAAAAAAAAGCGGCAAATTAATTCGATAGACGTATAATCGCGTCACACAACTAAAATAAACGATTCATGACGTTTTTTTAAACGACGTCATAATCTCAAGAGTTCCGGAAAAAACCCAGATATATTAAGAAAACCTCGAAACCGAACGAAACCGAGCTGGATATGCACCTCGAGCATTATAATCAAAACCCAAAAATCGAGAGGCCCACCACAGCATTGTTCCATTCCAACCATATGCAAAAGATACGTGCACCTTGAAAAAGAGCCAAATTTCATATCACTTTGTCCTTTTCCTTCCTCCTCCTTTTCTTCAATCTAACCTTTAGAGAATATGAAAAAGAGAGAGCAGCTTTAGGATACCCAAATGCGCAAAAAGATTTGAAGAAGCACAACACGCCACATGGTATCCGCGAAGCAGCAACCGGAGCAGGTGGGAGTGGGGGGAAGCGAAACGGGGAAGGGGAAAGTTTTACCAGCCGTCCGATCCGATTCGAATGTGTCAGAGGCAAAGTACTTTGACTCGTGTACATACGTGTCAGGCTCGGATGATCACTTGGTGCTGTACACGAAATCAACCTTGGTTTCACCAAAACATGCCGTTTGAATTGGCTACGCGTGGTGGGTGCCTGGTGGGGGCCAATTTCTACTGGACCAGAGAGGATAGGTTCTTTGGTCGATTCCCGTGGCTCTTTTGTCTTGGCTCTCTTCATGCGATGCGACGCCGTAGTGGCGCTCGTCTTGGTTCCTTGGTTGGTGGGTCCCGCCTGCGGCTTCTGGTTTGCGCTGTACGCCTTTCTTACATGTATTATTCTACTTTGTCGTATCCTGTGCTTTTTGGACGAATACTTTATGGGAGGAAGTGGGTTCCGGGGAAGATGTTGGAGGAATGAAGGTGAATTAGGAGGTCTGGTTAGTAGGGCATTAATCTTGGTCAATGGTTGCAACTGTTGAGTATTTATTAGATTGTTGGGAGTTGTTTGGTGCATCTTCATGTATTGTCTTTCCTTTTATACTTTGGGAAAAGTATAAAAAGAGCGCTAAACCTATTATATTGATACTAATTCACTCTCAAATATTTTAATTAGACCAATTTGATCATAAATATTTTTATATTGGTACCAAATCAGTTCATCCGGTCAATTTAGGTTGAAAATTGCTGACATGGATGCCGGCCATCCTACGTGGCACGGCTGGCGCTGACGTAGACATTTTTTTTCTCTCTCTTTTCCTTCTCTCTCTCTCTTTTTTTTTCCTTTCCTTCTCTTTTTCTTTTCTCCTTCCCTCAGCCAGTTGCCAACCTCCGTGACGGCCGGCCGATGGAGGTCGCCGCCCGCCAGCGAGGGTGAGAGCTGTGACGCCCTTGATGGCCTCTGGCGATGGTGAGAGGCCGTCCCGACCTTCACCAGCCTCTAACGAGGGCTAGGCAAGGGCCCCCTCGCTTGATCTGGCAAAGGGCGACCCCGCACAGCCCTCGCCAACCCTCAACAAAGGCTAGCGAGGGCATCTCGGCCCTCGCCCTTGCCCTCGCCAGCAGCTAGTGACCTCCGCCGGCCGTCACAAAGGCTGATGACCGATAGAGGGAAGGAAAAAAGAGAAAGGAAAAAAAAAGAAAAAAAAAGAGAAGGAAAAGGAATGAAAAGGGAAAAGATTAATAATAAAAATTTGAATTTTTTGAAATTTATATAAAAATGTCCACTTCAGCATCCATTGTGTCACGTAGGACGGTCAATGTCCACATCAGCGATTTCTGACATAAATTAACCGAATGGACTGAATTGGTACCAATAGGAAAAGGTTTAGGACTAAATTGGTCTAATTGAAAAGTTTATGACTAAATTGATACCATTGCAATAGATTTAAGACTTTTTTTTATACTTTTCCTTTAAACTTTTTCTAATAGATTCAAGATTAATCTCTTTGTTTCCTCTTGAGTTTTACATAATTAACGATGGTACCAAAGCAGCACGTCTTCATCGTTTGCCGTCCATCACGCGCCATCTCTTCACACCCCCCCTCCCTCCTTCCTTCGTCCCACTTGCAAGCTCCACCAGACTCTTGTAGTCTTCATCATCCTGTTAGGATGCCTTCTTCTCGATATAGGAAGAAGACTTGCGTTACGTTGGGCGAAGGCTTATTTGATGCACGTAAATAGAACAGTAACCCCATATGTAAATACATTTTATTTCAGCACGTCGATCATTTTCTTTGTTTATTTCCGTACTTGATTTTCAATGAGCCATAATGGCCATGCCCGATGCCATCCCAAATTTCCATTCCTCGACTAATAATAAGTAATGCATACAGCTGCTCGGACAGTCGAATATAAAATGCATTAGAGTAGTGCTGAAATTTCGTCTTAGATGGCTAGTGTTTGAAATTAATTTCACATCATCTTCAATCAAATTGACCAGCTAAAGTTCATATACCATACAAACATACCTAGAAGAAGACCAGAAAAGTCTTCTTTGTGCTTCTTTTTTTTTCGCCTTTTCCTGACTTTATCAGAACATATATTTATATATATACATATATGTACACATTGGCTAAAAAGGATGGAACTACGAGCATCTCCATTGATTTCTTTATTTTTGTCGTTTGACAGCACTAGAATGCAACAGCCTGTAAAATTGGAGCGGAAAGCAGAAATCGAGAAAGCTCTTATAAAGGCGAAAAGATAAAATAATCTAGAAAGCGATATTGTGCTCAAAGGCAACTTTTTTGTAGCATTAAGTGGACAAGAAAGTCTTGAAAAAGATTCAAGATGCTTCAAGAAAAGTGAGGTTTTCGGTGTTCAAACTAATCGAGATGACGTGCTTAACTCGACCGATGGTCGTCATTTAGATGGTCAAACGGTGAAAATCTCCCCTATTAGAGAGAGAACTCATAAAGATAAGGTGAACTAAACAGCTTTTAAAATCCAAGCCTTTCGATTTTCATATTTTATATAATTGCAAGCTGCAAAAATTACCCTATAACTTGACATTAAAGCATTAATTTGGCGGGTGAACCTCTTAGGGGGCTTTTCTTGTATTTTTTGTGTTCGGTTAATATACAACCTCACCAAAGAAATGGAGCTTTTGCTCCTACGAAGGCCTCTGCGGCTTGTCCCCATTCCGTGAATGCAGTCTTTACAGATGCGTTTTTTATTTTAACGTATCGGTACACGTATGTTCCATACCTTTAATATTTTCTGTATCTTTGTCTTCCTCGAAGAGAGCATACCCTCTGGAAAATTTCACATCACAAAAAATCCTGAGATACGAGAAGAAGTCTTTCAAGGAGTTGCTTAAGTCACAGAAAATCCACAAAAAAAGGACACGACGATTTATATGGGCAACGCTGCTTTTTTGGTTGAACCAATGAGGCGGCAACACGCAGCCATCTTTCGTTTTCGCTCAAACCTCATTGAAATTTCCAGCTGGGGGCGCGCCTTTTTTGCAGTTTTTCTTTACTTCTGTTGCGTGAGGAACACGTTTTCTCCATGGGATCGAGAGTCGATACTTCCAAAGTCAGCAAAGGAGTTCGTGCAACCTTTCTCTCAGTTTTCCTCCACTTGTTCCCCCTCCATCATGTTCCACCCTCGCATCATCATCATCATCATCCACGTGGGGCTTTGCCAAATCTCAGAACCTTTGGGAATCATTCCATTCCATCTCGTCAATCCATCCCGTCGTTTTGGCAACATCGAAAAATGGGAAGATCGGTGGTATTTGGATTACTGATTGAACCTGTGTATATCGTGCGTCCGTTGCGGACATGTATGTTCCTCAATGATTTTGGGCACGGGTCTCGTTTTCATTGGCGGGCGGAGACTTTCTTAGTTAGGTGTTGGACATAATTGGCCACCAGACATGACCTAAAGAAGCAGCAGTTGCAGATGCAGGTGCATGCACATGCGACCCAAGAACCAGAGATGACAGCGCGTTTTCTGTATGGAGGAAGAGGATAGCAATTAGTCGGTGTTGGTTTGAAAAATCAAGGGCCGTTGGGGAAAAAATGTGGTGAGAGATTAGTGGTCAAAGTAGTAGAAAAGAAGGGCAGAGAACATAAGTAATCGAGAAGACGTTAATCAAGCCGATCATCATAGTCAAAGAAAACCTTCCCCGCATTTGGTTGTTGGGGGAATAATTGGAAATTTGATGTTAAGTGACAACCTTTGGTGACCAATTACCCGCTATGCATGTTTCCCCTGTTTTTTTCTCTCCCCACGACAAGACCTTAGTGAAGATAATGTTTGGGACTAGCTAACTATGTTCTTGAGAGTTTAAGCAACGAAGATGGAAGACCCTATTCGCCATGAGGGTCCACCAAACCTTCCCCTCGATAGACCGCGTTTATGTGACGTCGTCTAGATATGAGATTATTTGAACTCGATATATGGTGCGGAGTTCTGGACTTGGCTTGTCTCGAGGCCGCCTCGACGAGGACCGCCTTGCGGAATCCCCTAGAGAACATGCCAGACCAGTGATTTTTTATGAGCGTGAGGACAAAGAGGGCGCGACGACTTAGATCAACCATGATAGGAGAGGGTCCAAATGTGTACTAGCTAAACAAAATAGGAGAGGGGTCCAAATGGGTAGTAGCTGAAACTTGGTTTTCAAGGCATTACGAAGTTCTTTGGTCTTTTACGTGAATCATGACAAAAACCCACAAACTCAAGTCACCCAATAAGTCAAGCCATCCCTCGTCACTCGACCGACAGCTTCCCCTCACTCTCTGAAGTCCCTACCATCCTCCACTCCTCCTCACTTTCCTCCTCCTCCTTCACCTCATCACCATCCTCACACATGGCCACAAGAGCGACCAAGCTCGTCTCCGCCCTCTTCTTGGTCTCCATTTTCTCGCAATTGGCCGGGAAAGCGAGATCCGACCAGCCGTGCGCCTATCCATGCTACCCGCCCCCCGCCGGCAGTGGAACTACGGTTACTCCAGTCACGACCACACCGCCTTCTCAAACAGGGTCGTATTCGCCTCCCAATTACCTCCCTCCGCCGGCAGGGTACTTCCCGTTCACCCCTCCGCCACCTTATGGCGGCGGTTTCTATATTCCCCCGCCACCCAACTCCATCATGCCGTACTTCCCGTACTACTACCGGAAGCCCCCGGGTCAGACGGAGTCGTCGGCATCGTCTCTCGGAGAATCAACGGTCATGGTTGCTGGGACTGGCCTGTTGTGTTTGTTGTACTTAATTCTGAGCTAAGTCTAGTGGTGGAATTTTCTTTCAGTTTTATTCCCTGAGGTAATTATTGTGAGATGAGATTTATGTTGATGTCTACGCCTGAAATGAATGACAATATTGGCGAAAAAGTTTAGCGGGATCTTCCGCCATTTCATTGAAGAAAAAGAATCTATCAAAATGGTTAATCGGACACCTTTCTTGCGCTTAAGATGCTAAACACGAAAAGAAATTGCATTAAACCCGCTCTTGATACCCGGAAAATCAATCAAATTCCGAAGAAAAAAATAAATTGCGCTGGACACCAATTCACAGATCCTTAATCATACACTGTTCTTGCGCTTCGACTGGGGCTAACTCCGTTCCCTGCATTGGCGAAGCAACGAGTCGAGACGGTTTAACTTTTTTCTCACACTTTACGCCATCAGTTCATCAAGAAAACCGGGTAATCCTCCAAGGAGATGAAGGAATCGGATCACCATCACAACAGCTTGTAAGGATTTTAAAAGGCTATTCAAAAAGGGTTTCTGATGCTTGCATTGCTTCGAGGGCGATGTTCAAACAGAGGACACCCTCGCTCGAAGGCATCGATTTCACTTGAGGTGTTGATCAAATGCAGTGTCAAGACAGACTGTGACGCACGACAAACCGTTAACCACGTTCAAGATCAAGAGTACGCAGTTTGTAAGATTGGATTTGACTTGTGAGTTGTGACAAAGAAACTCGTTCGATCCCCCAAAACCCGGGATATCAAACTTACTTTCCTGTCGATCATTCTCAATGATTTTATTTCCCTTCTGCCCCAAAATCTTCAGAAGTACTGTTGTCGATCCTTCGACTATGTTTTAAAAGTATATATACTGTATATGTACTGTCAATCATTCTCAATGAGCTCAGTCTTTATGCATAATCTGTGATGATTTAACGAAAATGTATGATTTGGAAAATATTTTCCGAGAAATAATTGCTTGTATCGCTTGTGATAATTAGTCAATGAAAAATGTTTTCATTACCGGCAAAAATTTATGTCTAGACATTCTCGTGGATAATGAAAATATGTGTCGTTCATTCATTTTTTGTAAGCGATTCAAATGATCATTTTTAGGAAGATGTTTTCCGAATCATTTATTGACGGAACCTAAGTATTAAATGCATAACCGGGTGTTAGCGTACCTCGTGATCGATGAGACAATTTTCTAATATCAAATTTAAATTTGAGAGACTATAATTAAGGAAAGCCCAATTCAAGTGAACAGAACATGCATCGCTCCTCTTAGATTTGGCCTAATTCAAGCAAAAGCCCATCGACGTTGATCAACAAAGATTTCAATGACCAAAGCCTTGCAGTTGTTGGAGAACAAATGGAGGGCTTCCAAAGATAAGGCTAAGTAGCAAAAAGTGCATGATAGTCAGCCCAGCCGAGGCCTCAACCTCCTGCCAGACAATCTAATTAATATCACTTGAAGATCCTAGATTACATCGTTGCACCAAGACAGCTTTAGAAGTTCAATTGTTGTCTCCTTATTGTAGCCCATCATCATAGGCCCGGTTGTATCACAGTGTTAGGACTCAGACCTGGGAATCCACTTCAGCCATGGCAACGAGCTCAAAAATGGACTCGGCCCGTCATATGCCTGATCTGGGTGGGCAGGCATCGGCCCACGGGAATAAGGTTTGAAGATGCGATCACGAATCGAACCGAATCGAAACATTCAGCAATCGATAGACGAAGCCAAAAGGTCGAACGCGGACGAAAGGATGGCCAGAACCCGGTTCCCATGGTTAAAGTATTCCCTATTTATGAGCCTACTCAAATTCTCAAGTTGAATTATAAAAGTAGGTGGTGCCATCATCTTTATGTTTACGTCCTATGTTTAAAAAATCGCTTCTGAAAAAATATGGTTGTGCACGGCAAAAAACACATATGTTGCAAGTACATACGAAATTTTGGATCGTCCCCAATTTAGGGAGAGTCTGTAAAGAGTTATACAATAATACTGGAACAAATGCTCTCGACCAACGTGATCATTAGGAGCATGATTGTCAAAAGTATTATAAATTATGGATCCGTCGTGTCGCGGTAATGACGTGTTATGACTCTCATTATTATTCCACGCATGTTACGGCTCTCGTCCTACTTGGTATCATGCGTGTTATGCATCTCGCTTTTAATTAACTTTTTACATCGCGCTTCACTCTTATGTGCTCCAGTCGTCACCTAAAATACCTTCTTGACATGATCGAACAATCCATCGGGAGCCCACGAAATCAATGCATCTAGGCCGACAAAGGGATGCCCTACAGTCACTTGAAAAGCCAAGGGATGTCCTACGATTCCCTCGGGTACAATGGATCCACCAAATCAGTGGCTTTTCAGTAGGGGGAGCATCACCTCATTTCTCAAAAGCATCTTCAACTAATCATATGCTCATTTTCTTGGGTTCCTAGATACTGCAATCTGGCGTCGAACACACTGCAACCACTGGAGCTTTATGCTCTGTTTGGGAGGGAATGGATGCTTGAGCTTTTTTGAACTTTTTTTAAGGAGAGAGATGAGGAAAAATATATAAAGAAAAAAAGCGTTTTCTTTCACAATTTTCTTCACCTTGATGTCCCAAAGATAGCATTAGCTCCTTTTCTTTCGGTTTTGAATGAATATGGTGGAGATATGGGGGGCGAAATGGCGAACGACATGATCGGTACATCGATTTCCTATTGCACCGGTGAAGCAAGGGGAGGAGGAGGAGGAGGAGGAGGAAAAAAGAAAATGACAAAAAAAAATGTCTTTTTAATTCATTGTAAGATGAGATGGTGTAACTTTTATTGAGTAAGCGAGCCACCTCAGCAATTGTGGTTGATTTTTGCTGAGTAAGAGAGCCATTAGCAAGTACCCCTGAATTGACAATTTTTTTTAACGCATGTATCCCATCGACCTGCTTTTCAAAAGTTTAGATACTCAATTGAACAAATAAAATGTGTTTTGATACTGGATTGAGAAACGGAGAAAAGTTCAAATATTTGTGACATCATTAACCAAAAAAATTTGATTTATCCCGAAATACATCAATCCAGACTATCCAATCAATTTCCGATCGATCATACCTAGAAATAATATCAACCCTACACTTACTAAACCATTGGCGATAGAAGGCTATGTCTATCGCAATATCAATAAATAGAGTCTAGACATATTGTTATTTTACCAAGGGGAATTTGCATGAGATGAACACCATCCCATAGTGTTTTTTTTTTATGTACTTAGCAGTTCTCTTTTTCTTAGTTAGGCGACGTAATAGCGATGCTCCAGCAATAATTAGTGTTGCCCGACTAGATAATACAAGAGAATAAGAGATCTAACAAGTAGCTAAAGTCTGAAATTACTCTTTTCGCCGTATCGATATAAGAAAATCCTTTGACATGAGGGAGAGGAGAGCAGTGTAATCTTCCCTTTTGGGACCAAGAAGATGAACCCAAAAATGGCAAAGAGAAAGAGAGGCCGAAACCAAAAGGAACATGTGGGTTTGCACAGAAAGATTGATGGGAAGGGGGGCAGGGTGAGGGTGTTATTGGTGGGGGGGTGTTCAATCAGAGATGATGAAAAGCAAAGCAAAGCAAAGCCCCCCCTCGCTCTCTTTATTCTTTTATCCTTTTCCTTCCCTTCTTTCCTTTTAGCACTTGTCTCTCTCAACTCTCAACCTCTCCCCCAAACACACCCTTCCCATCCCCACCAGTCAAGCTCATCCCCTTGGTCCATCTCTCCCTCTCCTGTCCGTGGTTCACCCTACACTGAACGTGACACCTCTCTCTCTCTTCTCTCTCTCGATCGATGGATGGATGCATTGATGGTGTGGGTTTTGTTGGCTTGTGTTTATACCCATCTGAGCCGTGGCTTAAATACTCTTTGGTCCTTATATCAAGTTGCGGAATGTTGGATGATTGCAAGTCTGTGAAAACGAAAGCTTTATGCATTACACCAAAAGTGTTTTCCAAACCCAGCTTAGGCTTTTTGAAGAATTATCGAAACCTTGATCCGTCACACCAGCTGGGAGGATGCGCCTCTCCTCCGGTCGAATGGTTACAAGCATCGAGAAAAAGCTCTCGGCGGTGGATGAAGATGCTCGTGGAGATTTTCTTTTTCCTCCTATTCGCAGTGTATGATATGAAAGTCTGTCAAAATATTTTCCACGGTAAATCAATCTGGGAAACTTATTTGAGTCTCTATGAGCGATGTAAAAAATTCAAATTCGGAAGAAATATGGTAGGTGAAACGATTATGAATAGATGCAAATTATCTCGAGAAGTTTACAGTACAATTTGGTCCATTAGGTTAAGACACATTGTTATCTAAGAACTTAATATCAATTACTTTTAGGCACCGATCTGAGGCGGAAACCTTCTATATTTTTCTCTAAAGTATAAAGAGATGGTCATTTCAAATTGTGCATCAATAGTTATCTATATAGACGATACCTGTCCATTTTATGTTTAAGGGAAAGGTTAATACCAAGAAAAATCCCAAACTGGTACACCTGTGATAAATTTATCCCAAACTAATTTTTTGACCACAAGAAACTTCAAACTGATAGACATATGACAAATTTAGCCAAAACTAATTTTTTGATCACAAAAAACCCATAACTTGTATGCTTATGACAAATTTACCCTCTGTTTAATTGGATTAATACCATGAAAAATCACAAACTAGTAAACATGTGACAAACGGAGAGATAAAACCCCAAATCAGTATATCCGTTAACTACCACGTGTCATCCAATTCAGCAATTTGAAGGTAAAATTTAACGAAAACTAACGACTGATAAATTTATCACATGCATACCGGTTTAGAGTTTTTAGTTATCAAAAAATTAATTTATGATAAATTTATTATAGGTATACTGATTTTGAGTTTTTTGTGATATTAACCCTAAGAGAAAAAATAAGGCTCTTCACTAACTTTTTGATTGGACTCTCCTTTTGTTTTCTAATTTAACGTTGACTCGGGGACTGATGGTCATGGAAAAGGTAATGATTAGGTAATCATCGGCACTCGAACATGCTTAAGAGTCTAAGTTAGCCAGTTTCAATCAAAT